CTTCTGGTGCTTGGTGGGTGGAGTAGTGTGTACTGTATTTCTCTCAGTTTTGGCTTGAAAAAGCTCTTTGTGTGTACTAGAAATGGGATTGGGCCGTTCATGGATCATGTCTCAGAATAAAATTTGCTATTACGATATAAAAGTCACTGTCATTCTGTGAAGAACACAAATTTGATATCTCTCAAATCAGTAGTAATACAGCATCATTTTAGGATAAATGTAAGTGTAATGTAATTATTTGTATAAGGAAAATAATATGCTAGAGCTCACATTACATACTGATCTAATTCATTTACTTAAAGTGTTTTCCTGTTGAAATTTCAAACTAAGTATTATTCTGTAGTGGTGAAAATTGCATCAGTAGAAAATGCAGTCATGCCTAGTAGGAGGCTAAAAATCAAATCGCCTTACTGTCATTACCCTTACTTGAACCTTGCGATCATGTTAAGACTCCTGATCTTTCCAGAAGGAGCCTTAATTTGTACTGAACTCATTCATTGCTCAAAGCATTAAGAAACAGCAGGATGGACCCAGAGCAGAAGTCTGATTTCGGGGTCTGAGTTGGCCAACTTCTCGGAAGTCAGGAGTTTCATATCCCCATCTCAAATCCCATCACCCTCCTGGAGCAGACTCCTTCCTACCTTTGAGGTTGCCATCTAATTAACCTCTCCCTGCAGATGCTGAGGGTCCACGGGGCACATCTTCAGCCCTCTGAACAGTGGGGAAATAGGCGTTTGCTTCCAGCGCTGTGGGAGTACAGTGTTAATGGTCTCTAACTCTGATAAAATTATGTGGATATTTATCTGGTGTGAAACAGTTCAGCTCCAGTGATGACACCAATTATGTAGGATATGAGGAGAGCATCACTCTTACGCTGCTGCCACTTTATGGTTGCAACTTGCAGTAAACTGTCCTTTCCTGAAATGAGCACAGCGATGCTACGTACGTGCCTTTATCCAGGGGGTCTTGTAGGCAAAGGGACTCAGGCAATATGTAGTAAGTATTTTCTCAGAAACGCCTATTTATTGTAATCAGATGCAATCTTGGAAAAAGGCTGTCGGGATAAATACAGACCTTCTGGCACTGGCAAAGGGCAGGTTCTTCGCTGATGCTTTATTGCAGGTTTGTGTGAGCGACACATTGCCAGATTACTTCCCTTAGGAGTGAGCTCGTGGGGTGCATGGGAACATAAAATAAAGATTAGTGTTGACTTTCAAGTCTGAGGGCACAAAAACAGGAAAGAAAAATAAAACAAGATGAGTCTCTTCAGTCACTCCTTTAAAGTCTCCACTCCTTGACAAATTTTATATAAAGCTGTCACTTTTCTGTAGCTTGAAATATAGCATAGTATTTTGCTGCTGAGTTCCTCTTTGATCACACCGATAGACCATCCTTCCACGTAACGAGCTGTCGGAGGTCCCTTGGCAGGGCCCTCAAGCCCCGTGGTTTAATAATGAACTGCAGGTTTGGGTCACTTCTCAGCTGTCAGCGTCCGCTCCCTGGCTGCTCTGTGCACACGAAGAAGTCCTGCCATCCTGGAGGATTTTCTAGAGAGGGTTAAAAATCCCCTCCCGAGTTGACAATTACTGAACTATTTTCTCTGTTACCTTGTTAAAGAACAGAAGATTCCCAAGCTGCTGACCAGGAGAATGCTGAAACGGAGGAGAAAAATGAGGAAACATCAGCACCTCAGATCACGCCTCCCCTAGAAGAACGCATCACTCATTTCCGAGACATGCTTCTGGAGAGAGGGGTAAGAAATGTGCTTGCTTTCTCTGACATATCTCATTTATGAAAATAGGGCATCATCTGGGACCACTACAGGAATCATTTCATAACTATGACTTAGCAGTCAAAGGAAGAATTACTGAGAGGGGTTTTTCTGTCTATTAACCATGTAGGCTTTGTGGTACTTCACTGTGACTTTTCTTCTGGCTGTGCAGAACTGACAGCACTTTACAGGTGCAGTTCCAAATAAATTCCTATAGACAGACCCAAAGATAACCAGAGGCAGTAGCTCCTCCAGCGCAGACCAGTGGCTCAGCAGGGCATGGGGACCATAGCCACACACCATCCTGGGGGTCCCGCACGGACCCCAGAAGCGTTCGTTACATGATGAGCAAAGGATGAAAGATGTGTCGTGTGTATCACCTGAAAGAGACCACCAGGCTCAGAAACATTCCTGGCAAGCTCTTTGCTTTTTTTTGGCATGGGAGGGGTTTCATCACCACAAACTCCAATGATCCCAGCAGTGGGAAGCCAAATTCACTTACTGGCCATCTGAAATCTGCCCAGTCTGTTACAAAAGGACGTACCGGAGTCTCAGGAGGGTTAAGAAAACCTGCCCTTTTCACTGGACCTCCCCAACTGTCCTTGGACTTCCTTGAGAAGAGCTGGTAGTTCCAGCTGAGGCTGAGGTGCAGGAGCGTGGGATGCTCGGGGCTTTTGGGCTGAACAGGGACAAGAAGAGGTGGCCCCTCTGCAGCCAGCCAGGTGAGAGCACCTGGAGCATCGTTCCCTCCCGCATCCAGGCCAGTGCAGACCTGGCAGCTGTGGAGCTGGTACAGATTATGGGAGGGCTCAGAGTTATTGCAGCCATTTTACCATGACCTAATCAAGATTATGAGTCAATAGATGAAGCATAAATTCAATTTGCAGATAGAGCCCGTCAGCACTATGAGCCTCATGACCAATGGTGAAATATGAATTACAGATCGTATAATAGCATCCGGTGACTAATTTTGTAAAGAGCATCAGCCTGATTTTTGTTTTCTGTGGTAACGCTTACAAACCTGTCTTGAACTGGCCGCATAAAGATTACCATTGATGCAAGCAATTTTGGATACCGTTATTTACAAACATAAAATCACTTCCACAAAAGATCATCTCACAGTGTTCCTTCTTCCAGAGAACTGATGATTTTGAGCGTGAGTGGAATTAATAAGCATACCAGGTTTAGGTCCTAATCCTGCAAATGTAAATGGGTGTATAATGGAGCGGTGTATGCAGATTTTATACCTCCTTCCAACACTCTGCAAATAGGTATTCTATAGAAGTTCATGTAATTTCTGTAAAGAAAAAAAATCCAAGGTGTCTGTTGTTAGGCAGTAAAGCCTATAAAATTTATCACTAATAATCAGTAGACTTTAAAGGTAGATAATTAGAGCTTCAGAAGCTCAAGAATAAATTATCTCCATGCCAGACCCGCTTTATTAATATATTTTGTTATTTATGCTTAAAGAATGCAGAAGTGCCATAAATGAATACTGGTTGAAGGCTTCTGCTGGCATATTTTAAGTCGGGGCAATAAGTCAAAATTTGAAAGTATTAGGGATGTTTTATAATAGGATTCCTCAAGTGTTTCCAGTGTAAGAGTCAGACTTGCTCATAAAAATAAGAAAATCAGGAAATTTACTGTTTGGTTTTGCTATTATTTAAAAATGTATAGATAATAAGTTACTTTGCTGTCACCCTGAGCATTTTTTAAATGTCCAGACAAGCCGCTGGTTAGCACCAGCTGGTTGGCATTGCTTGAAATGCAGTAAGGCCTTTAGTGTTATTTTAAACTGATTATTTAATGAACGTTTCCTGCCATTTTCTCGTAATGTTATTTCTCGAGAAGTTGCTTGATGGCATTACAAAGAGCTTGAACTAGATGGAATTCTTCAGAGTAGTTCTGAATCTTCCTACAAAATTATATCAACAGAAGAATATTTATTGTAGCATTTTAAAAATATATGTGATTTTTGGTGTAGCTCCAGAACAATGGCACTATTCTTAACTCTGTGGCAAGTTTTCCTATGTAAAAATGTAATCTCTGATATCCTCCTGGAAGTTTAAAAGTTTCCACAAAGTCCTGAGGGGAAGGGGAAAATTCAAGCCTCTTCCTGGTTCCCTCACAGCCACGGCATCAAAATATCCACGTTGTACAGTCTGCATTTCTAGGAAAGTCTTCTCTTTGCTGGGATGCTGTCAGTGCAACAAGACTTTTTTTAAGGATTCCAAATGGTATTTTTTCTCAAGATTTTACCTTCTTAATATTGGGGATAAAAAAGGGGTGTTGAGGGGTCCTAACCCCCACCTTCCTGTCTCGAAACAATTCTTGCGGCGTCCACATTATCCTAAAGAATAAATTAAGAAAACACAAATAAACAGGGTTTTTTGGGGTTTATTTCCCTCAGCCTGTTTTTCAGACAGACCCAAAGAGCCCCTTTCTAGGACAAGCCACTGAATCCCACTTTTTAATATCTTTTAATGAGGGTCATCGGTCCGTTTGGGATGCTGGGAGTGTGTCAGAGCCAGCAGCAGGTGATGACGCGGGGAGGGGGCTCCAGCTCAGGCGCAGGGTGGTCCTTGCTTCTGCTGACCTGGGTGTCTCCTCTTAGCCCTTTGCCACTCCATCCTTCTTGCTGGGTTTTGTGTGTTTCGGTAGCTTGTGTCCGGGGTGGACATCATTCTCTACCAGAACAACGTCTCCTGAAAGCTGGGAATCCTTTGCTGATGAAGATAAATGCATCCGCTGAAAATACCAGGCACTTCACCTTTCTTTCTTATAAATCTTTTAGTCAAAGCCAAGATCTCAACGTTCTATCATTGCTGGGCTTCCAGAGTGAATTGAAAATAGAATCAGCTATTCAGACAGATGTCCCTTCACTTCTAAACATACTGCTCAAACTCAATACGTTGAATTTTTGTGAGTTTTTTCCCTGTACTTTGCACTCTGGTTAAGAGCAGGAGTGGAGAACTGGAAACCCACGACAAGCTCAGATCTCTCTTCTCCTTTTTGTCTGTGGTGGTACTGGGCCACAGAAGTCATTATTTATTCTGGGAAGAGATGCCACCCCCACCATCCCCAGTGCATGTGTTCCCTTGTTGAATGTCCCATAGTAGGGAAGAAGACCACAATACAATACACGTGGGAGATTAGTCAGAATATTAATACTTTATATGCATTTGCAGAGCTCCAAAGTGAGTATCCTGAACAGCATATGACATGTGTAGCTAGAATTAAATTATAAATATCAGTAGCCAACATTTATTTTAGGTGTATGTCTGCGGTATGTGAAATGTAATAATTACTAAACAAAAAATCATAAACAGGAATGATTACATGATAAATTAGCCTGAGCTTAAATAGCTTTGAGTTCAAACTGGTCTTTGTACTGGGAGCAAAGCTGATGTTCAAGAGAGAGTATAAAAGACATC